TCAGCAGGAGCTGTGTGTGGTTCACTAACGCTGGATGTTTGAAAATAAAGCATGGATTCCACTGGTTACTCCCGCGAGTCATGAGCCGCTACTCCTGCCGGCTCATTCCTTCAACACTGTGGGTGCTGGAGGCTGAGTGCTAGCCTGCCAGCCTCACTGTGCCGCCTCCCACAGGGCGACTTTCCACTGAAGGCCGACAGGGTGGTCCAGTCCGTCAAGGCCATCTGCAACGCCCTAGCCGCTGTGGAAACCCCTGAGATCACCAACGCTCTCAACCAGCTGCCCCCCTGCCCTTCCCGAATGAAGCCTAAAATTCAGAAGGTAACGGGGCCCAGAGCACTAGCGTGGGGAAGGAGGAGAGGAATATTCCCCGGAAACTAGGTGACTAGGTGTCCACTTACTAAAAGGCTCTTCTCTCAGCCTCTATCTTTTATGTTTGAACATTTAGTCACAGAGTTTTTGGGAAATAGATGCCAAGTCTGTCACCTCTTCCTGAGGATGAGAGTGGGCTAGGATCTCCCCCCCGGGACTGATTGCCGGTATCCCAGGCCAGCAAAGGCTTTGTTCACAGTCGCTGAGGCACTGCCTGCCAGTTTTCTTACCCAGCAGGGTGCAAGACCAAAATCTGCCCCAAGCCGGGGATTTGGGACTCCGCAGTGGGGGCTGTGTGCTGTGCAGACGGGGCCAGCCAGCACGATAGGTGCTGTGATCTGTAGTGGGGTAGCCTGAGGGCTGGCGTGTTTCATTTGGGTGGACACGGTGATTTTATCCTTGGTCTGGTTCACTGTCCCATCACACGAATCTGGTACAAACGGTTACTCTATCCTCCCTGGGGGGAACCTCTGCTCCTCAAATTTCGGTCCAGTCTGGTCCAGATGAGCACAGCTGTGAAAAGCCCTTCTTCCAGCTGTGGCGGAAAAGGCCATGGCCCTGAAGCTCCCCTCCCTCTCCTTTTTCCCCAATAGGATCCCACCGTCTTGGCTGTGAGGGAAAACCGAGGTAAGGGAGCTGCTCTCTTCATCCAGATGAAAACTGCAGTCTCTGCCCAGATTCCTTTTTCTCACTGGCCCCTTTGATTTATGGGTCCAGGTCTGCCTCTGTGTGTGTATGTGTGTATGTGTTTTCCTATATGAGGCGTGGACGCAGCTGGAGAGCACATTTCTTTCCACAAGATGTTCTCTAGTTATTTTTACTAGTTATTCCTGTGGTGTCCCTGGGAGATGGTGATGAGGCGATGTAAGTGTGAGGGTAGGCGTGGTGGGCAGAGTTAGCCCTGGGTTCCAGATGGAAAAACTTTCACTTGGGTAGGTTGTGAGCTCCTAACCCCTGTGTTTCCAACTTTGAAGGGGCCTGGGGAGATGGTGATAAAGAATTTTCCCCTAGGATTCCCCCTTAAGTCTTTCAAGCAGAATGTTGCCCTACAAAGCTCATATCTCTAGGATTCTTGGTCAGTGATTCCCAATGTTTCAGATTTCGTGGACCAAAAAGCATTATTTTGGGGACCAACATAGAATTATCAGTTTTTATTTTACTAAGCAATGACTTCTTTTAAGTAACTGGTAACTGTTATTCCCACTGCTTCCTAAAAGAAAGGACATTTTACACTAAATAAGTAGCAATACCTAAAAATAAGGACAATGTTTAAAATTGAGTATCTGTCATTTTATGAGAAGCTCGTGACATGCTCCTGCTTTTTCCTCATTTCATCACAGATGGGTGACTGGCATTTGGGGACTACTGTCCTAGGGTATCCCATCTTAGCCAGTGCCATGACAATAAGATGGGGCTTGTCGAAGCCTCACTATTCTTTCTTCTGTCCCCTTCCTTTCACAGAGAAGGTCATGGAAGCCCTGACAGCTGCCATCTTGGACCTGGTGGAGCTGTACTGCAACACGTTCAATGCGGACTTCCAGACGGCAGTGCACGGGAGCCGCAAGCATGATCTGGTCCAGGAGGCCTGCCATTTTTCTGGGCCCCTGGCCTTTACGGTCTATGCCACCCACCGCATCCCCATCATCTGGGCTACCAGGTGAGCACTGGGCTGAATGGCCTATAGGGAGCAAGCTGAGTTAGACTTCAGATGGCTTTTTCTGTCTGCATGTGACCCCACTGTCCTAAATTTAGGATCTGTGGCATTGTGGTGCACTGTGGCTGAGGGGATGAGCCCACTGAGAGGGAGACTGACGTGGGCTGGGACATCCCAGAGGAGAGAGAAAAGGCAGCAGCGGTCAGATCTTGTCACACTCCCTCTCAGTGATGGCTGCTTAGGCATCCCTGCCCCCTCCCATCCAAGGCCAGCTGATGGAGACGCTGCGACAGATGGCCGCTTCCCAGATCTGCGTGCATGCCTCATGGCCAATGACTGCGCTCCCCTGCAGATGTACAATGGGAGGGGGCGGGGAGGTGGAAGATGACCCTTTGTCTGGAGTTCCCTAGGCCCGCAAGGGTGGGTGGAGGAGGACGTTAACTTGGTAATCCTGAGCTCATCTCAGGGTCCCCCAGCATCCCAAGCCTTGGGGAATAGGCCTATGGCTCCACCCGAACCCCCGCCCCTCTCTTCCCAGACCCCCCTCCCCCTCCCTTCCCCTTCTCTCTTTGTTCCTCACTTAATGTATTCCTCTGGGCGATTGGCGGAGAACAAAGGAGGCAGCCTGGGAAACCAGGGCCTTCTCTGACCTCTTCTGTCAGGCACCTGTCACGAGCCGCAGGGACTCCCATGTGTTGGCATTCATTTCAGCATATGTCGTTTTTCATCCCCCACGCTTCTCACCTGCGCATGCGCATGTGCGCAGGCGCGCCCCCGGACACCCCATGGGCTGGAGCTGGTTCTAAGGTGGAGGCTGCATGGCTGCTTCCCAATAAAGAAGCGAGAAAAACCAAGGGCTCAGCATGGAACCTGAAACTGGGCAGAGAGATCCAGATCGAGTTGCTTTTCCCGGAGCACACTTCCGCAAATCCGATTTGGCTGTCCTGTGCCTTGACCCCACCGATTTGGCTGTCCTGTCCCTTGACCCCATGTTCCAGTCCCACAGATCAAGAGTCTTACAGGGGAAATGGAGTTTGGCATAGTTCGGGTGACTGAGATGAGGTCTGGGAGCTGAGTGTCCTGACCTACGCCCTTTCTCTTGTAGCTATGAAGAGTTCTACCTCTCCTGCTCCCTCAGCCATGGCGGCAAGGAGCTGTGCAGCCCCCTGCAGACCCGAAGGGTTCACTTCTCCAAGTACCTCTTCCACCTCATCATCTGGGACCAGCAGTAAGACCTCCCGCCAGGCTCCAGTGCCCACTGCAGACCCTCTCAGCCTCCTGAATGCCCAGATTAAACCAGGCTCTGTCACGAACCCTAACCAAACAAGCCATTCAGACTCTTGAGACTCCACTTCCCTAACTCTTAAATGGGGACAAGTGTAATTTCTACCTCTCAAGTTGTTAATGAGTTTCCAATGAGAAGTATCCATAAAGGCTTGTTGTAAACCATGAAGGACCATATAAACATTAGTTTTAATAATAGTTCATTGTTTTGATCTTGTCTCCCTTAAAAGGTTTAACTAGTCTGAGGGAGTCTCATCTCCTCCCTTCTTCCTAAAGTTCCCATGGAAGAGGGAGACGGCACCATGCTTTCTCCCTTGTAGATCTGGAAGGGCAGGCTGCCTAGAGGGAAGACTAATGGGCTTAGAGCTATAGGAATAAGGCTCTATTTCTAGCTCTGTCTCTAGTCGTATGTTCTCTCTGGCCTCTTTGGGCCTCAGTTTCTCAAACTGTAAAATGGGGACATTTGTTTAACTCAGAGGCAGTTGTGGCACGGAAATGAGGTAAGACAGGTTATAAATAGAAACATGAAAACACAAGCGCAAGATAGTGTTAACCACCGTTTATTAACAGTAATTTGCTGTCCAGAAGGTAGGCATCAGCCAAGCAAAACAGGAAGGAAATGGAGGCCAGGGTGCCTCGATGGTGACATTGCAGGAGTTTGTGTGCCTCTTGCCTTTTCTGTGCTGCTCCATCCTCCCTCCAGACAGTTGGGAAGCACCTTGTTTGCTCCCCGCAGCTTCACTTTCCCAGACTGGCTTATCTCTGAGTCCTTATGTGCAAAGCAGAGCTGCAAATTCAGTATTTGGAGTGCAAGTTAAAGAAATTGAGGAGGGTCCTTGGGGAGGCCAAGGATACCAAAATAGGTGGATGGAGAGTCTGTGGAAATCCGGGGAGAGGTGGGCCATTTTACAGACGGCCAACGGGAGAGGCAGACCTTTTCTCCTGTCTTCACACGTTTATGACTCTTAGAGCAATAAAGGTATAAATAAAGTCCTTTAATTAAACAATCACCAGAGCAGGAGAGACTCCTTGGAGGCTGAGGATGGCTGCATTAAACGGCTCCCGCATTTCACCATCCCCTTGGGATTCTCTGGCCTCAATTACTACGTGCTTTACAGCGCTCCAGCCCAGGCAGACCTCACAATGAGCCTTAGACCCTTTCCCCACGGGGTATCAGAGGTGTGGAAGCAGCCCAGCATGTCCCACCTCAAGCTGCCTGCTCTGTGGTCTCATTCTCCTCCCTGTCTGAATCTCTGCCTCAAATCCCATAGGGCTGCTATCCTTCCTAGAGCCTTGTGGAGGGTGTCATGTCAGCACTGCCTCTCCAGATGCCCCGTGGCACCTTCATGATCAAGACCAAGGCATGTGGGAGGAGGCCGTACAGTGTAGGCTTTGGGTGCCGTCATCCTCTCTTTCTCACCGTAGGTGCAACCTTGGGCAGGTCATTCAACCCAAATGGACATGGTAATAGGGCCTACCCTATAGGGTTGTTTGAGAGCAGTTGAGACATTGCAAGTAAAGCACTTGGCACAGTACCTAGTACGTGATAAATGCTTTCTTCTTTATCATCTTTGTTGTGTTCTGAGCTCTCTCAATTCTGGTTTCTCTGTTCCAAGTGACCGGCACAGTGACTACACATGGGGATGTTTGTGCGTGAAAGTACTAAATGTATATAGCTCCGTTCCAGTGCAGTAACCACAGTGTCACGTAGCAAAAAGCACCCAGTATATACACACATCACACAAGTGAAGCCATGTCCCCCTTTTCACTGATGAGGAAACTGAGGCACAGAGGTGTGAGTGGTTGCCCAAGGTTGTGAGAGGCAGAACCAGGACTGGAATCAGCACATCCCAGGAACGCTGCCCGGAGGAGTCAGCCCCTGTGATGCGCTGTTGAGGAATGGGTTGCAGGAGGGAGGAAGTTCAGGGCTACAGCTAACCTGCTGGTTGTCCTGACTCACCCCAGGTGCAGGTCCATGGGGGAGGTTTTAGAATACCAGATATACCCAAGGGCTGAGGAGAAGGGGCCCTTGGTTGGTTCTAGGCATTATGGTTTCAGCTAGAAAGGTTCCTCACTCTCTTTTTCTCTGGATGCCCAGCTGGAAGCCCCTTCTTAGGTGAAAGGAAAGGGATCAGGGCCAGCTCCGTCTGCCCTTTGCTGTGGGGTCAGCTGATTGTCTCCCTCACTGTAGCAGCATGGGGTCAGCTAACTCTCAAAATAGGCCCAGCAGCCTCGCTCTGCCACTGTAGCCAAGCCCTGGCCTGGCGTGTACGCTGGCTGCTGGCGGGGTCCTAATTATAGCTGTGGGCCCCCATGGTAGAGGCAGCTGGGACAGAGCAGGGCCCCGCCAGTCTGGCGGGAAGGAGGGAGTGCCTCACTTACGTGGAGATTCCCCTGGAGGAGTGAGGGGCAGCGGTGGAGGGAGGCTGCTTGATCATGAAACTGCTAACCTTGGGGGTGGCCGCCCTGCCTCTGTGCCCTCTGGCATAAAAGCTGCTGGGCCCTGGGCTGGCCAGAAGGGTGTGACAGTATGGACTTTGGCCCAGGGACAGCTTCCCCAAAAGGTAATGTGGGTCCTCCCTCTTCCCACAGCTCCCCTCCCCTCTCCACCCACCCCACCCCAGGTCTTTATCCCGAACTTGGAGGGAGTAGCCGGGTGTGATTCAGGCGTGGGAGCACGGGAGAGACCATCTGGGCTTGGGTACTGGCAAGGGCTTCCGTGTCAGTTCTTTGGGCCCCGCCAGTTTGCTTTCTCACCACCCAGGGACTTGGAGGAGCCCCTTCTTTTTATCCCCTTGGCTTTGAAAATGTTTCGGGGTGAGAACAAACTATTTGTGTCCATTGGGTTAGGGGAAGAAGGGGACATGGGAGGACAGACAGGTGGGAGGGCCGAGGGGGAGGGTGCGCTGGAGGCAGAGATCCTGCTGCTGCTTCTGGCTGCTCTCAGCCGAAAGAGGTGGGGGAGGGTTGGGGATTGTTCAATGGGGAAGGATTGTCAAAAGGAGCAACTTCTCAGTGACTGCAGAAATCCTAAAACAAGGGAAGGAGTATGGCTGACAGTATGGGGCATGTAGACACCTGAACTCTAGGTGGCTCTGGCCAAGTGAGTTCTGTCTGGTCACTGTGGGTAGCCTCAAATCAGAGGCTGTTTGTCTTACTCTACCAAGAGGCTGCAAAGACATACAGACTGTGCTCCTGCGGGCATCGCGTGGAGGTTTTGCCTGCAGTTTGGGATCTGTCCTGGTTCTGCAGGAAGGCTTACCCAGGGAGCATATCGGGAAGCCAGGTTCTCAGCCTCATCTTGAGTTCCTGGGCCACCTGGCCCTGGAAGCCACAGGGGTGGCACTTCCTGATTTGGTTTCCTGTCCTCCCTAGGATCTGCTTCCCTGTGCAGGTGAACCGGTTGCCTCGGGAGACCCTGCTGTGTGCCACTCTCTATGCTCTGCCCATCCCCCCACCCGGGAGCTCCTCGGAGTCCAATAAACAGCGGCGGGTGCCCGAAGCCCTGGGCTGGGTCACTGCTCCGCTCTTCAACTTCAGGCAGTATGTGGGCCCAGGGCAGCTTGGCCTTGGCAGGGAGGAGGGGATCGGGAGAGAGAGGCCTGGCTGCTGCATGGGCCAATGCCCCTTGGGCAGGTTGGCCAGGTGGGGCTCACCGGCAGAGTCCAGAGGGTCCCAGCCCTGGTGGAGAGGACCAAGGCACAGGACTGGTGGCCAGCACAGTTGATGTAATCAAGAGCTACTGGGCAGGACTGGTGGGAAGGGGCACGGACATGCATGCTCAGGCAGCGTCATCTGGTCTTGTCATTGGGAGGACCTTAGAGGTCATCCAGTCCAGCTCTCTACATCATGAAGGCATCCCTGCCACCAGGTCACCCAGACCAGGGAGGGTGTGGTTAGTTTAGGAAGGCTTCCTGGAGGGGGTGGGTTTTTATAGGACTTGGAAGAAAGAGAAGGCCGTGGTCTGTGGGGGAGAATGAGAGAGAGGAGTTGGCCAGTGGCTTCAAGCAGAAAAGGCAGAGTTTTGGATAGGGAGAGCGGGAGGAGGACCATCTCCTTAGCGACTGGGTTTGTTGGCTTATCCCACCTTCCATCCTCCTTAGAGTCCTGACCTGTGGCCGGAAGCTTCTGGGCTTATGGCCAGCAACACAGGAAAGCCCCAGTACCCGTTGGAGTGCACCTAATTTCCATCAGCCAGATAGTGTCATCCTGCAGGTGAGACCCCAGCCTCTCCCTCCCACCGACCCATCAGGACCACTCCAGAGTTGGCTCCATGCTTTCCCTTTGAGGTTCGGGCTGGGGCAGTAGGAGAAAGTGCAGAACTTTGCGCGTGGGGTGATGAGACTGAAGCAACTAGGTGAACATGGTTAGACCCGGAGTGGGAGGATAAGTTCTGCGGAAGCTATGTCCCATCTCCTTGAGGTTAACTGATTTCAAGGAGTCTGAAGGCAGGGTCTGAGACCCTTGCCAACCAGGGCTCAGCTCTTCAGAGTTCCTTATATTGAACCCTAATATTACTAATCTGAGCCATCCCCTCTTGGGGCCCATGGGGAAGCCCTCCCCACAGCCACTCAGTGCTCTAGTGGGGTGGACCCATTCTCTGGGGACAGGAGGAGGAGCTGGTCCGGTCCAAGGTCTAGTTACCGTTTCTGGTTCCTTTTCTTGTGGTCATGAGATGCTTTGGTACAGAATATGGAATATCAAAGTGGATACAGAATGAAAGCTCCAAGAGGCAGGCGTTTTTATCTGTCTTATTTACTACTCTGTGCCCAGGGCCCAGAACAATGCTCGGTACATATTAGGGTTCAATAAACATTTCTTGAATGAAAGAATGTGGAACTCCCTTTGAGGACTGGCTCCCTGAGCTCTGACATCCATGTTAGAAGGATGAACATGGCAGCAGAGAGCAAGGGAACCCAACATTACAGGCTTCAGAGTTGGCAGAGCTCTCACCTGGCATGTGGTCCCACTTTCCATCAGGCAGTAGTGCCCTCCAAGACCACACTGAAGGCTCCCCAACCTCGGCGTGGAGGCTCCCAGTGGTTCAGCCTAATGACGCTTCTCTTCAGAGTTTGGCCTGGGGCCAGTCCCCTCACCTAGATGCATCTCAGCCCAACCTCTTCCTCACTTGACCGTTTTTCTTTCTCTCTCTTTGTTTCCTTCTCATTTTTCGCTGGAAGTTATAGCTGGAAGGGACTTTAGCGATCACCAAGTCCAACAAGTTTATTTTACAGACAAAGAATCTGAGGGTAAGGGAGGGAGGAAGGGAGGCAGGAAGGCTGGTGGGTAAAAGAAGAACTGGAGACCCAGGTAGGTGGCAGCCCCACCCAGCTTCCTGTTCTCTCTCCTCACTTCCCTGCTGTCATCTCCCAGATTGACTTTCCCACCTCAGCCTTCGACATCAAGTTCACCAGCCCCGCTGGAGACAAGTTCAGCCCCCGCTATGAGTTTGGCAGCCTCCGGGAGGAAGACCAACACGTGCTTAAAAACATCATGCAGAAGGAGTCCCTGTACTGGTGAGGCCCAGGGCATCCCCCATGTGTGACTCGGGCCTCCACTAAGCCTCTCGAGTTCTAACTGACCTTCTCTTACCTCCCAGCAGGTCCCTGTCCTCCTGCTTTGGGAGTCGAGGTGGGATAGGGTGGGCACTGCTGCCTAGGCAGGAAGTGGTGGACAGAGGGCTCTGCAGCCCCCAGACGTTTTTCATGAGCTGACCTTAGGCAAAGTGGAGAGCTCACAGGCAGGATATTAGATCTGGGAACACCCATCCCCACGATGGGGACTTGGCCCAGAATCAGCTTGCCAAGAGGACCAGAGCTTTGCCCCACCCCCAGATAAGCTGTGTACTATTTGCTGTCCATTGGGGCAGCTGGCCGTTATGCTTACCACCCTGCCCCCACCTCCTGCCCCTTCCACACCCACAGCCTTTGCATTTCTCTGGCCCTGTCACTTTCCAAAAAGGATCAGGTGTCAAGGCAAGCTGGCAGCTGTCAGGGGTAAGCGAGTCCAAGCTGATCTTATCCTTGGGGCTGCTTCTCTCACCAGGGTTGAAGAGGCTGGAGGAGCTGGTGGGATCTGGGCTCCTCCCCGGCCTGCTCTCTCCTATACCTCTCTGGCTCCTGCATGGCCCTTGCATGTGGTGGTTGGGGGAAATGAGAGAGATGAGGCTCATCTCTCTCCCTCGTGTCTCACCCAGGGCAGCCAGAATCACTGAGTGACTGCCGACCTCCCCTGCCCCCACTCCTCTGCTGACGCCTTGCTTCATTAGCCCCTCAGCTCCCTTCTCCCATTAGACACCTGATCTCAGGCAAGGCCCAATTAACTGCAGGTCCTATAAAACCTCCAGCTGGCCCCAGGAAGCCCCAGGAGGCCTCTCAGCTGCCCAGACCCTGAGCAGTGGGGACCACTGCCCTCTGGTGGCTCTACTTGGGAGTGATGTCCGAGGGGCATCCTCAGGAGGGGTAGCAGATTTGGTGCCCTTGGCCCCTGCATGCTGCCTTGGTGTGAGATGTCCCTGAGTCAAGGATCAAAGATGCGATTTGGACCCTGGCTCCCAGAGTTTGCTTCACACATTGCAATCACTTAGGGATATTTTTAAAATTACCGATGCCTGCCTTCCCCAGACATTCTGACTTAATTGGTTTTGGGTGTAGCCTGGACAAGGGGCATTTATAAAGCTCCTCAGGTGATTGTAACGTGCAGCAAAGTTTGGCAACACTGAACTGGAGTGTGTAGCATTCTCTTGGAGCGTGAGTACCTTACCCTCTGGCTGACTCTGCTGTCTCTCTCACCTCCCCCTACCACTTCCACCCCCAGGCTCACTGATGCTGACAAAAAGAGCCTGTGGGAGAAGCGGTATTATTGCCACTCAGAGGTGAGCTCACTCCCCCTGGTGCTCGCTAGCGCCCCCAGCTGGGAGTGGGCTTGCCTGCCCGACATCTACGCTCTCCTGAAGCAGTGGACCCACATGAACCACCAGGATGCCCTGGGGCTCCTGCATGCCACGTGAGTTGTAACACCCACCTTTCCTGACCACGTGTCCTTCCAGAAGCCAGGGCTTGGCACTGCCCATCACTGACCTGGCCAGCCCTGGGGAGAATGGTCAAGTGGGCGTGGAAATTCAGGGCTTTTCCACTTCTCCTTTTCCCTTTCTTTATTTTATTCCACCCCCACCCCCCATGTTATATTATGAACATTTTTCAAACATACAACAAAACTGAGAATTTAATAGTGAACATCCATATTCCCACCACCTAAATTCTAACCATTCACATTTATTTTTTGGGTTTTTTTTTGCGGTACGCGGGCCTCTCACTGTTGTGGCCTCTCCCTTTGCGGAGCACAGGCTCCGGACGCGCAGGCTCAGCGGCCATGGCTCACGGGCCCAGCCGCTCCGCGGCATGTGGGATCTTCCCGGACCGGGGCACGAACCCGTGTCTTCTGCATCGGCAGGCGGACTCTCAACCACTGTGCCACCAGGGAAGCCCCCACATTTGTTATATTTGCTTTATTGTGTACATACTGTCCATCAAAACATCTTATTTTTTAATGCATTTTGAAGTAAATTGAGACCTCATAACTCCTTCCTAAATACTTTAGCAAGCATAACATTAACTAGATAGAGCTCAATGTTTGTTTACGTTTTTTTCTTTTGAGACAAAATTTACATATAAGTAAATGCCCAAGCCTTATGTGTACATTTGCTGAGATTTGACATATGCACACACCTGTGTAACCCAAACCTTATCACTTAGTTCTGCTCTTACAGTCCTCTCTCCCTTCGTTCCTCCGGGGACACAGGCTCCCAGTCTCAAACCCCTAGAATGGTTTATTTTCTCCCACTCTTAGTAATTAAAATGTACCTGATCCATGTATTTTGCCTTCAGGACTTTCTGAGGCAAAGGTTTTGTTAATCTCTGCTAAACTAATTCTGGCTAGGTGTACTGGCTTATATATAATTTCATGATCTCTGTTATTTGCCTGGCAAGCTTTGCGTTAAAAGGATGGTACCAAGAAATGATAATGCTTTGACCCTCACGAGGGCTCTTTGATGATGGCATTTCTAGCACGGTGGGAGTCAAGGAAGAGATCTTTGGGAGTGGGGTTGAGGACTTTGTCCCATTTTCTTTAACTCATACAGGGAGTGAGAGTGGCTTCCATGGCCCAAGGCTGACTCTGACCGTGGGCCAGGGCCATTCTCAAGGGTTGCAATCCAGAAAAGGTGCTTACGACTCTTCTAGTGGCTTTGGCAGATTCTGGGAGTCATTGCCATTTCTTCACCCATGGCTCTGAGGCCCAGGTGTGAGGGTGCTTGCTCACTTCTGTGCCTTAGACCCTGTGGCTGGATTGTCAGGGTCCTGGGCTCTATTTTGCAGGTTCCCAGACCAGGAGGTGCGTCGTATGGCTGTGCAGTGGATCGGCTCCCTCTCTGATGCTGAGCTGTTGGACTACTTGCCCCAGCTCGTGCAGGTGGGTGAGCTGGCCTTCCCTCCAGCTCTGATGGTCCCACCCCCAGGACCCCAAGACAGACTGCATCCTGCAGGGTTAGCAGTTGGTGTAGATTACAGGCAGTCAACAAAGCCTCCTGTTCCCTGTCTCCTACACAGGCCTTAAAGTATGAGTGCTACCTGGACAGCCCCTTGGTGCGCTTCCTCCTGAAACGAGCTGTCTCTGACTTGAGAGTGACTCACTACTTCTTCTGGTAAAACTGTGTGCCCGAAGAGGAGAGAGGTGGACACATCTCCTCCACTTGGGAGTGTTTTACTCTATGCCTGCAAGGGTGGGGAGCTGAGCCATCTGGGTTGCAGTATGTGTCTCACTTACCAGGTGGCCTTGGGCCAGCGCCTTTTCCTCGGGGGCTCTCAGCTCACCCGCATGTAAGCGCAGTGGGGATCATCCCTGGCCCTCCCCTCCACCCACACACGGCAGAAATGCAAGGAGAAACCAGATGCAGAAGGGCTTTGAGCCCTATTTAAAGACAGCACGGGCAGACTGAGATGTGGCTGAACACCTCTGTATAAGTTTTGCATCCAGAGCCTGTTTTCCTTCCCAAGTTTGGGGTGGGTTTTCCAGGGGGTTGGAGCTGGGTCTGACCACTCCCCACCCCCCCTTGCCTGTTATCCTTTGAGTGTTCTGACGTCCCCCCTCCCTTTGCCTGGTAGGTTGCTGAAAGACGGCCTCAAGGACTCTCAGTTCAGCATCCGCTACCAGTATCTGCTGGCAGCCTTGCTGTGTTGCTGTGGCAAGGGGCTGAGAGAGGAGTTTAACCGCCAGTGCTGGCTTGTCAGTACCCTGGCCAAGCTGGCCCAGCAGGTCCGGGAGGCTGCCCCGTCTGCACGGCCGGTGAGTGGGGTGAGGCTGCCTCTACTCATTTCTGGTTCTGGGCCTCTGCAGCCAGTCATTAACTTCTTAGGCATCCTGACCAGCAGGATGGCACTTGACCATCTCTGGTGAGGGGCTGGAAAGAGGTGACTCCCTAACCTACAGGCTACAAACTGACAGTCTGCAAGCTGGATACAGCCCATGGAATGTGTTCTCTTTGGCTTGTGAAGTATTAAAATTTTTATTTAACTGTTTACCTTAAAGGCTAAGCCCAGTTGTGTAAGTTGTTCACTGCACAAGAGCACCCAGCCAGAGGGGGCAAGTGAGGGCTAAAATTCAGTCATACTTTGTTCACTGTGCTGTGAGCCACGGCTCAGGGCTGCTACCACCCAGAGGGGGGACCTTTATCTGTTTGCACAAAGGGGTTGTATTAGTCCAGTATTAGTGATCCTGGTTGCTAACATTTAAAAATTGGGAGATTGTGAAGTCTAGATGATTGGCTTTTTTGGCAACGGCCCAAGTGGCAACTCCTCCTTGACCTGTAGCCCACCCTCTCAGTTCACCGTGGGCTGCTTTAAGCTGTTCTGTCATCCACCCAGTCTCTATAGGTGTTTAGACTGTGGCCCCGGCTGTGGTGTGGGTGGGGCAGTCTTCCTTCTTCACCGTCTCCAGGAGGTTGTCCACATCTCTTGGGTGACTGTTTCCGTGCCAACCACTACTGGCACCCGCCCCTGGGAGAGGCCTGGCTCTGAGTGGAGCTTATGGGCCCCTTACCTCACCCCTGCTCTCCTTTCCCCACCAGGGGATTCTCCGCACGGGCCTGGAGGAAGTGGGGCAGTTTTTTGCCCTCAATGGCTCCTGCCGCCTGCCGCTTAGCCCCAGTCTGCTGGTTAAGGGCATCGTGCCCAGGGTGAGTGACTGGTGGGTTTGGGGCTCTCGGAGTGGGGAGGGCTCAGTAGAAGCCAGGCCCTCACTGACCTGGTTACTGAGAGAGATGAGGAAGAAAGGCATATGTGGGGCCTCTTGCCAACGCTAACGTCTATGGACTTTTACCTGACAGCTCTGCGGGGTGGAGGAATTGGGTTGGGGGCTGGGTAAGTGCCTCTGCTGATGGTGTCAGGGTTGAAGTCCAGGCTGGTGATGCTCCCACCTGTCATTCATCGAGCACGCACTCTGTGCCTGGCACTGTTCTAAGTGCTTTCCTTTGGTTATCACATTTCATCCTCACGACTCTTAGGAAGTCAGTACTGTTGTGAGCCCCATTTTACAGAGGAGTAAACTGAGTTATAGGTGGGACACATGACTTGCTAGAAGTCACACAACCAGTAAGTTGTGTGTGGAATGAACTGAAGGGCTGAGAGAGACCAGGCGCAGGAGCTGAAGTCATAACAGACTGAACCAGGGTGATGGCAGTAGGGAGGGAGGGAGGGAATGTGGGCTCCGCAGAAATCTGGAAGAAGCAATGAGCAGCAGCTGGTGGAGAGCTGGAGAGGCCGTTTTCCTTCCTGGGCCTGGGCCACCCTGACCCTCATCACTACCCTCTCTACTGTGGCAGGACTGTTCCTACTTCAACTCCAATGCAGTCCCCCTCAAGCTCTCCTTCCAAAATGTGGATCCGCTGGGCGAGAACATCCGTGTCATCTTCAAGGTGAGGACGCTTCTCTCAAGCCTGGTGGGATGTCGATGGTAGAGAGAAGGAGAGGTGGGAATCCAAGGGTGGCAGAAGCAGCCTCGGGGCCATTCTCTTCCTGCTGGTCCACACTCATGCTGCCATTTTAGTGCGTGAAAGACTGTCGGGTGAAAAAGGAAATAGATGAATTGTGTGTGGCCCCAGAGGGCTAGGAACAGTGTTGGGATGTGTAAGGAGGTAACTGACAGCTCAGCGTCAGAAGCGCTTTCTAGAAGGCAGAGGTACCTCAGCAGTGGATGGATAAGGTGCTGACCTGGCTGTCCCTGGAGTGTTCAAGCTGAATGACTAGGGCAGGCGTGCTGAAGAGGAAATTCATAAATCAGGTGCAGGCTGGACTTAGATGAATCTTAAGGTCCCTCTAACTGGCACATCCATGATTCTGAGGAATAAAGCGTAGTCTCAGAGCGGACAATCCAGTGGGCGAAATGAAAGGCATGCGTGACTTAGTGACATATGTTTGTTGTGTGTAAGTTCCAAATCCAGGGTGTAAACATTCAAGTTTTAAGGCTTTGATGGTCAGGGAGAGGAGGACCCTGACTTCAGTGCAAATGGGGACGTGGGGCTGGGGGAAGAGCTGGGACACCACACGGGCAAAGTGTGGTTCCTGGCCCATCTCTGGTGTTGGACCTGGTGTGAGGAGGTGGGAGCACTGAGCAGTCCCTGGTCACTAGTCTGGGCCAAGGTTGCCCTCCTGGGAGATCTGGGAGCTGGGGGAAGCGGGGGAGGTGGTTCCGGTCACTGTCTTCCTTCATCCAGTGTGGGGACGACCTTCGCCAGGACATGCTGACCCTGCAGATGATTCGCCTCATGAGCAAGATCTGGGTCCAGGAGGGGCTGGACATGCGCATGGTCCTCTTCCGCTGCTTCTCCACTGGCCGTGGGAGAGGTCAGTAGGGAGTGGGCGGGGCGCTGACTGGGCAGCTGGCGTGGGGGGTATTCTTGCTTACTGCCCTTTTGCCATTCCCTGACGAGAACTGTGTGCTTCTCCAGAAAAATGAAAAGGGCAAGATTATCCCATTAGAAGCTGTGGAATGGCATTAAAAAAGGAAGGCAGAGGAGAGAGACTATTATAAAATAAAGCGGACTTGGAGACATAACCTAGCATACTGTGTAGACTTTGGACCCCAATTCTAACAAACCAACTGTAAACGGATACTTTTTGACACAGTTGGGGGAAATTTGCATGTAGACTGGGTTAGATCAGATCAAAGAATGGTCGTTGAATTTTTGGATGTGATAATGGCATGGTGGTTGTGTCCTTGCTAGGTATACTTGAAATACTTATGAATGAAATGACATGTATGGGATTTACTTAAAAATACTCCAGCCGCGAATGGGGTAGGGGGAGGGTGGAAGAGAAGAGGGGGAAGCAGGGCTGGGTGAGTGAAATAGATGAAACAAGATTAGCAAAGTGTTGGCAATTTTTGAAACTGGTTTTGTGTGAGTTCATGATACCATTTCTTTATTCTTATATGTATTTGAAAATCCCATAGTAAAAGTTAAAACAAAAAAGGATCATGGCTATGAGCTGGGGGGACCAAAGAGTCACAGCATGGAGTATGAAACCAGGGGAATGATCTTTCCCCTTATCATCAGACTTTGTCCAAGTGCCCTAGAGCTTAATTTATAGGGAAGCATCCAGCAAAGTTCTTGTAGTCCTCTCCTGACAGACGCCTTCTCTCTGCTCTGGAGAGTGACTTGATATCTCCCCTCACAGGGATGGTAGAGATGATCCCCAACTCTGAGACCCTGCGCAAGATCCAGGTGGAGCACGGGGTGACCGGCTCCTTCAAGGACCGGCCCCTAGCCGACTGGTTGCAGAAGCACAACCCTGGGGAGGACGAGTACGAGAAGGTAGGATTGAAGCGTGGGGGTGAAGCTGGGGTGGGATGCGCATGACTCTGGCACACTGTGTTCGCACAAGGCCCACACATGCACAGAGAAGACAGCTCAGCTGTACTGGGAGGAAAGAAACACTCTTGGTTGACTGGTGCCTCCAGATGTCTAGAGGTGGGTCAAATGACTTTTGGAAGCTGACCAAGAACATCCCCTGGTATCCAACTGGGAAGCCTTCGCTGAGTTCCTCTGGCAGATTGAGTTTGGAGGAGGGGACCCTCTTAGTCACGATCCTATTCAGGTCCTCCTGTGTCCTGCAAGGAGTCCAGTGGTGCTTTGCAGAACCAGAGTTGGAAGAGATCATTTTATCCAACTCTTCTTTTCATAGATGTGAATTAAGACTCACTCATTTGTTCCCAGTTATGGAGCTGGTTTGTGACAAGCATGTAACCGGAAGCCAGGATTGAGGATAGATATGAGACAGAGATGATAGAAAAGGTAGCTGACCTTCCTCAGGCGGGGCTGTACTGGGTGGTAGGGCCTTGGTGACCTGCTGTGTTCTGTGGCTGGTCCACAGCTTCATGGCTCTTGCCTCTGGGTTAATTAAGTTTAGGGGAGAGAATAAATCATAATAACCAAGCTCATAAGAGAATGGCCATAAACCAGAAGCGATCCATATACTAACTTATATTGATCAATGGCTTTTATCCCTGAAGGAGAACCTACGTGGGCAGCCAAATTATAATCAGAATGTTGTTTAGTGAACATGTAATTAGATGATCTTCCGAGGCCTTAAATGTTTGCATTCCCCAGGGTTTAATTCCTGGCCTGCTGTGCTCTTTGTACTCTTCCCGTGCCAGCTCATCATCTCTTATTACTTTACCACCCACTTGCTGATGACTTCCAAAGCCATTCCCTCTCCCCTCTCTCACCACCCAATTGCTGGACCTCTCCGCTTGTGTTTCACCTGTACGTCAAACTCAGTATAGGCAAAACCGAGCTTTCTGTCTCTCCTTGTCCTCTTGAAACCTGCTTTTTGTTTGTACCGCAAAAAAAAAAAAAAGAATACACACAGAGAGAAACTAACTTAGTGTCTCAATGTTTAATATCAGTCTTTCAAAAATAGCTCTCAGCTCTTCTAGTCTTTCTGTTAGAATGATGCTGGTAGTTTCTTATGGTGCCTTCCAGGAGGAAAGAACTAGAAATACTTGTCTCTTGGCCACCTACTCAGCAAACCAGAGTACCTCCATTCCTATAAGTGAAACCCCTTAAATCAGGAGAGCTCTCTTTATACAGTGAGACTTCCTGCCAGTAAGCAGCCGACACCCTGCGTAACTTAGGTGATGAGACTTTAGTTATTTACTCTGTGGCAGAGTACAGGCATATAGCTGCTTTGTAAGTCAAAATAGGATGCCTTTTCAGGTAGAAAGAACATCTGTGACATGAAGACAGGTTGATGGAGATGGTCAAGACTGAGAGTTGATGGGTTATACTTATTGAGTGGTTTCTTTTCAATTATATATTTCCCTATCATAGAAATCATCTTTTTCTTCCAGAAGGTACATTCTGTGATTTCTTTACAAACTTTCTATTCTTAACTTCCTAGCGATTAGTCAGCTGGTTTAATTTAACAAGTAGCCAGGGGGTTTCTGTGTGTGGCTAGTTTTTTTTTGTTCTTTTTTTGTTTTTTGTTTTTTTTTGTGGTACCCGGGCCTCTCACTGTTGTGGCCTCTCCCGTTGCGGAGCACAGGCTCCCGACGCGCAGGCTCAGCGGCCATGGCTCACGGGCCCAGCCGCTCCGCGGCATGTGGGATCTTCCCGGCCCGGGGCACGCACCCGTGTCCCCTTCATCGGCAGGCGGACTCTCAACCACTGCGCCCCCAGGGAAGCCCTGTGTATAGCTAGTTTTTTTTTTTTTTTTTGTTCTTTTTTTGTTTTTTGTTTTTTTTTGTGGTACCCGGGCCTCTCACTGTTGTGGCCTCTCCCGTTGCGGAGCACAGGCTCCCGACGCGCAGGCTCAGCGGCCATGGCTCACGGGCCCAGCCGCTCCGCGGCATGTGGGATCTTCCCAGACCAGGGCTCGAACCCGTGTCCCCTGCATTGCCAGGCAGACTCCCAACCACTGCGCCACCAGGGAAGCCCCTGTATAGCTAGTTTTGAAGTAGGCCTGTGGAATAGCCAAGAGGCTGCTGGGAGATAAGATCCCTGGACCCTGGGAAAGTGAGAATACTAAGTTCTGAGTGAATGGTGCCTGTAGGGGCTCAATGGGGAGGAGTCAGTGCAGGCTGGTAAGATCTGGGAAAGGTGTGGAACTCAAGGAAGGTCCTTAAAGGCTGGGTGGAAGCTTGCAGAGGGAGGTCGAAAGGGCATGTGTTCGATGAAGATTTCTCTCATTCCCAGCTTTGTCCATTCTTACTTGGCTGTGACAACTGTTGCCTCTGCTAATGAGTCTTTCTTGAGTTCTTGGGAATTCCAGAAAGCTCACAAAGAGGATTTAGAGGATGAAAGGTGTCTATTCACTAATTCCATACGTTTTTACTGGAAAGGCAGATAAGGGGGCAAACGTTGACCAGATAAAATAAGGTAGATCCAACCCCTTACTCCCTCCCCTCCTGCTTTAAACTCAGAAATTGCTCTAACACATTTTACCAACTAGAGATGTCTGATTTTCAAGTGTAAAACATCCCCTAGAAGTGTTAAGCTGCCTCAGCTCTTCCTTGGCGTGAAATGACTTTAATTAGATTAGCATTCATCTGTTACCAAGAACAGTGGAAATGGGAGTCATACTGGGGCCAGGGAGGAGGACAGAAGAATTCTGAGCAGGGTCAGGAAGAGGCCCTTAAGTCAGTTGCCTCAGTGCTGTGCTTGAGTTAAGGTCACCACAAACAATTGGGAAAGTTGTAAACATCAGTCTTCCCTGATTATGGGCTGGTCAAGTCTGGGCTCCCGGATCAGTGCACTGTCTTTCCAACCAGTTTACCAAGGGGAAAGAAAGGTGCAGAAGGTGGTGAATTGCAGGTAACGTGGTGGAGATATACCTATAAGCCTTCCATCTCCTTTTGCCCCATAAGATACAAGAGAAGTTTCTGTGTGCATCAGTGTGTACGTATGTGATAAAGGCTGAACAGGCAGATGTGACAGCTGTTGGACTCATGAGAGAGGGGCAGGGCTGGCTGAATTCAGTCTGGCTGTGCCCCTGGGGTCCCTCCACGCCAGCTTTATGTCCCCTCCTCCCCTCTGCCTTCCTTCTCCCAGGCTGTAGAGAACTTCATCTATTCTTGTGCTGGCTGCTGTGTGGCCACGTACGTCTTGGGCATCTGTGACCGTCACAATGACAACATCATGCTGAAGACGACCGGCCACATGTTCCACATAGATTTTGGCCGTTTCCTGGGCCACGCCCAGATGTTTGGGAACATCAAGCGGTAAGTGGTCTCCTGAAGCCAGGATGTGCGTGTAGTCCAGGGAGGTCAGCGGAAATGGTTCGGAGCTGGAACATGAGCCCGTGATGGGAGGGCCCGCACTGCAGAGTGTGGTCCCTGGGCTGAGCAGCTTTGGAGAAGAGAAGACTGAGAAAGAGGTCAAGTCCTTTCAGGGCCTTGCAGAAGAGGGCAGGCACCAGCCATTGTCCCTCCCTGCTGAGGACTGAGCAAAGGGAAATGAGCCCAAACCACAGCAGAAGGGAATACAACTAGATACCCAGGGAAAATATCACTAGCTCACAGGCAAGGAACCAATGAAAGATGTGTTTGGGGATTTTTTAAGATTAAGGGAGGAAAAGAAAAACGAAAATGTTAGAGGAGCCACATCTATCCATTTCACACAGGTGTTGAGGGATGAGGAAAACCATCCCCTGACGCAGCCCACAAAGTGGGCTTCCTCCTTCATGTTGACCTTCTACCTGTATGTTCCCCTTGGCCCAGGGACCGTGCCCCCTTTGTCTTCACCTCGGACATGGCGTATGTCATCAACGGGGGTGACAAGCCTTCAAGCCGCTTCCATGATTTTGTTGACCTTTGCTGCCAAGCCTACAACCTCATTCGCAAGCACACCCACCTCTTCCTCAACCTTCTGGGCCTGGTGAGGAGCTCCATCCCTTTCTGAACCCCTCCTTCTTATCATCTGGCACCATCTTTAAGACTCCCTTGTCTTGCTTCCAAGGATTTCTGGAGATCTACTTCTCTGAGCCCTAGGTAAAGGCAGGGCTCAGACCACCTGGGGACAATGGTGTCTGCAGGTATCTGACTTCCTGCTCCAGCCCCCCCAGTTCCTGTGGACTGCTAGCCACTGCCCACAGCATCTGCCTGCCACCCTCTAGAAGGGTTAGGGAGCCTAGCTGTAGAAAATCTTGCCTTATGGTAAAGAGGAAGCAAGAATTTCTGGTTGTTACAGGCACCCTCTCTTCTTCTTTGCTCTTCTAGATGTTGTCCTGTGGGATCCCTGAGCTCTCAGACCTGGAAGACCTCAAGTATGTGTATGATGCCCTGAGGCCTCAGGACACAGAGGCCAATGCCACTACCTACTTCACCAGGTAAAACTCTCCGTACAAAACAGTGCTGCCCACTCTGGGTAGTTAATTTCCAGGCTGCTGGATTGGGAAGAACAGGGCTAGGGAAACGGGAGAGGCTTAGCTCCGGTGGCAGAGCTTAGAGTTGACAGCGTGGGTCAGTGGTCCCAACTTTACCTTTGACTTGGGTAAATCATTTTACTTCTCTCAGACTCAGTCTCCCATCTGCACTTGGGTGCTGACCTTTACATAGAGGTATTGCGATCCCCTACTTGCATTCTCACCATGTCTCAGTCAAGGGTTTTGTCTATGGGGCAATGTATAGTAGGGATTTTGTACTAGTTTTTAGCTCTCTGGATCAGAACCTTCCCCCTTGTCAAAACATGGAATTCCATGGTTCTGTTTTCCCATATTTGACGTTCTTAGACACACTTTGTGTGAAAGCAGGGAAGTGTCTGTATACTAATGTCTACCGTTTTGTCCATTTTATGATGCACCCTTTTTGGAACTTAGCGAACTAAACTTTCTCTGTTGGGTCTAATGTAGTACCTTTCCTTTTGAACTAAAATCTCTGGATTGAGCTTTGTTTGGTGAGGTTCCATTGTAGTGAACCTTGAAACTCAGTTTGACAGCAGTATTTAGACATTTACATGGTGAGCCCACGGTGGCATCCCTAATTCCTTCCTACCTTGGTTTAACTGTCTTTGGCTCAGGTGGGCAGTGGGGGGAGATAAGACCCCAAGGTTCACAGAAATAAGCTGTATGCTGATCATTGTGTGCAATCATGCACTCTATGAGGATATCACACAGGGAAAATGATCTGATCTGAGCTGAGTATTAGTCTCAGGTGTCAGGGGATATTGCTCGAGATAGCTCTGCCAGGCAGTGGGGACTTGGGTCCGTGGTCACATCCTTTTCTTCCCATCCTCCTGCAGGTTGATTGAGTCCAGCCTCGGCAGTGTAGCCACAAAGCTCAATTTTTTCATTCACAACCTGGCTCAGATGAAGTTCACAGGCTCAGACGACCGGCTGACCCTTTCCTTTGCTCCCCGAACACACACTCTCAAGAGCTCTGGCCGCATCAGTGATGTATTTCTCTGCCGCCACGAGAAGATCTTCCACCCCAACAAAGGCTACGTAAGTGTTTTCTCCTATCTGACCCTCCCTTGCTCCCCACTGCCCCAGCTCGTTGGGGTTCTGACTGTTTCTTCTCTTCCACACTGTGGGCGCTGGAGTTGACTGAACACCCTGTGCTGGGAGCAGTCACACACCCCTTCCTTCTCCACTGCCCAGGTTGCCTGCCTACAATCAGGGAGCTGAGTTGGATGGCTGTTCCCTCTGAGTCAAGGGTCTTGTGAAACAAGGATTCTTGTTCATCTTTGCTTTCATTTTGCTGCATATGTATATTATCTTTGTCTCCATTTAGAGACATTTTTATCCTCTTCCTTCTGGAAAGCGTAACTCCTCCAACACACGTGCGTGTGCGCGCACACACACACACAAACACACACACACACACACACTTCTGTCCCCTCACCTACCCCCTTCATTGGGTGTAGAGGGTTTGGCAGGGAGTATTCTCTAAGATTTGGATTTTGCAGATTTATGTGGTAAAGGTGATGCGAGAGAATGCTCACGAGGCCACTTACATCCAGAGGACATTTGAGGAGTTCCAGGAGTTACACAGTAAGCTGCGGCTGCTCTTCCCTTCTTCCCTCCTGCCCAGGTATCTGTTGCCTTTACTCTCTGCACTGAGGGATACTGGGGAGGGAGAGCGGATGGGGATTGGGCAGGACTGCAGGAGTGAGATACTGCCCTTTGGAGAAAAGACCTATGTCCTTGGTTTTCTCCTCCTGGCAATGAGTTTGATGACAAGTGCTCCCCCTGCTGGTCATGCTCTTCTGAGGCTCTCAAGAGGTCTTCCTCCAGCCTTGAAAATAAGCTTGGGTCCACCTGCCAGGAGAGCAACCTGGGTCTAAAGGCAGGGGATTGACTGAATCTGAAGATTTTTCGAAGTTTCTAATCTTCTAAAGAGTAAAAGTATGTTTCAAATAGATAAACAAAATGCGGTGTATATACAAAATGGAATATTATTCTACTGTACGATTCCACTTACATGAAGCACTTAGAGTAGTCAAATTCATAGAAACAGAAAGTAGAATGGTGGTTGCCAGGAGGCGGGGGGGGAGTTGTTTAATGGGTATAGAGTTTCCGTTTTGCAAGATGAAAAGGGTTCTCGAGATGGATGGTGGTGATGGTTGCACAACAATGTAAGTGAACTTAATTCTGAACTGCACACTTAAAAATGGTTAAGACGGGGGACTTCCCTGGTTGTCTAGTGGTTAAGACTTCCCCTTCCAATGCAGGGGCTGTGGGGTTCGATCCCTGGTCGGGCAGCCAAGATCCCACATGGCTCGAGGCCAAAAAACAAAAACAAAAACAAACAAACAAAAAACTATAAAACGGAAGCAATATTGTAACAAATTCAATAAAGACTTTAAAAATGGTCCATATCAAAAATATGTATGTTAAAAAAATGGTTAAGATGGTAAATTTTATGTTATGTGTATTTCACAACAATTTAAAAAAGCGATTTTTCAAATGAGTTTTTACCTTGATGGGGAAAACTGGGGGCTCAGAGCCGCTGAGGCACTTCTGGAGAGCTGTAGGACTCTGCTCAACAGTTTGGTTTTCTCATCCGGTGTCCTAGGAACTGTCTGGTGTGAGATGCTGCGTGTGTGCCCTTGGCACAGACCTGGGGAGCTTGGGGAGGCATGGAGTTGGGGAAAGGTCCCTGGGAATGGAGGCTGGTGAGAAATGCAGATCAGGTGACTGAAAATGCAAGTGAAATGTGACTAAATCCTGTTGCCTCTTCATTATCTTTCCCCATCTTCCCCCTCCTGCGTCGCCACTGCCCACCTGCTGTCCAGCTTCCCTAGTCGCTTTGTGATTGGCCGCTCACGGGGAGAGGCGGTAGCGGAGCGGCGGAGGGAGGAGTTAAATGGCTACATCTGGCACTTGATCCACGCAGCCCCTGAGGTGGCCGAGGTGGGTGGCTGCCTCTGTTCCTGGCTGTCCCTGGCGCTGGTGGGGGGGGTGGGGGATGCGGACGGAAGCAGGTGGCAATCATGGAGGGGACTTGGCTTTTCTGGGTCTGTGTGCAGGAAGAGGTGGGTGGGTCGTGGCTCCAGCCCCACGGGACTATGCACAGAAATGCAGTGAAACAAACATGCAGCTGGGCACGCAGAGAGACATGTCCGTGTTAGGTGCTTGTAGTGAGCAAGAGCCTGAGGAAATGGAAGGTTTTGAGCAGGTTGAGTGTGTGTATCCGCCTAGATTTTTCTTTAAACAAATGGTACTATAATGGGCATAAAGACAAATACACTCATCCGGAGTCCCATCAGCCTAAAAAACCATCTAACCCCATTTCCATGTTTCCTTCCTATTTATCCATATATAAATGTGACTTTTATAGTTTTATAGTGGTCATAGCTTAAATATAATGCTATATTCTGTTCTTTTTTCACTTAAGTGTTTATAGTAAGCATAACTTTAAATATGTGTACCAAATTAATACACCAACTTGCAATACCATAATCTCCTTAACCATTCGCTTCTTGAAAGATATTTAGATCATTCCCCTCCCCCCTTTTTTCACTCTTAATGCTAGAGTGGGTATTTTCACACATTTTAGTTTTTGTTTTTGTTTTCCCTAATTGCTTAGTAAACATTCTCAAAAGTAGGATTCATGGTCTTTATCCAAGGCTGGGTCAGGCATTAGTTCCCCGACCAGGGATTGAGCCCTAGCCTGCCAGCAGTGAAACGCCAAGTCCTACCCAATGGACTGCCTGGGAATTCCAAGAACAGACTGCTTTTGACCTGATGTGACCTACTTTTATTTGATTTTTTTTCTTTTTTTTAAACTTTTGTATTATGAGAACTTTCAAAACATATAGGAAAATAGAGAAACAGTATAATGAATGCCTATATATCCATCACTTAAACAGTTATTATTTTGACATGTTTGAGTCATCTATTTTTTATGAAATATTTTAAAGTAAATCACAGACATCGTGACTTCTACCCCTAAGTACTTACTATGCATCTCTAAAAAACAAGGACATAATCTTACATAACTACACTGTCATTATATCACCCAAAACATAGTCCATATTCAAAATGTCCCTGTCATCTCCAAAATTCTTTTAACAGTTGGTTTGTTTGAGCCATGACCCAAACAAGAACTGCATATTACATTTGATTGTCACATCTCATAGGTCTCTTTTAATGTGGAACAGTCCTTTTCCTTTTTTCACTGGGCCATTGTCTTCCTGAGGAATGACCCTGTTTTCTGATTCCATTCCAGTGTGATTTGGTGTACACCTTCTTCCACCCCCTGTCCCGGGATGAGAAGGCTGCGGGCACCAGCCTGGCTCCCAAGTCCTCAGGTACAGTGCCTTCTCTGTGAGATTTCTGCCAACCTCTCTGAACCATTCCCAAAGGTCATTTTTCCTGCCCCTGCCTCTTCCCAGTTCTCTTTTCTTGACTCGTCTCTGTTCCTTTGCTTACTGGCTAGAGAATCTGGTTTCCTACTCAGGCTGTGGGTCCACAGCTCCTTGAGCAGATTCCCCAGGGACTGGATATGCTTACACACTGGAATTGGATAGACGCCCCCAACCCAACTCTGAGTCACGTTCGCGGATGCCACTTGGCAGATCCCCGATGGGGTATCATCAGGACTCTGACGTGGAGTTACTGGCAGGGCGTCAGAAGAAAACAGAAACGTCTGCCTGGCACCAGATGGGGACAGGACTGGCCTCCTGACCTTTCTCAGTTTCCTTTGTCCCTACAGATGGCACATGGGCCCGGCCGGTCGGGAAGGTTGGGGGAGAGGTGAAGCTGTCCATCTCCTACAAAAACAACAAACTCTTCATCATGGTGATGCATATTCGGGGCTTGGTAAGTGCATACACAGTCCTCATTTGGATCTTTATCTTTCTTCTGGTACTTTTCTGACTGATCAGACCTTTTCTGCCCACCTCTCGTGAGAGTAACCACAAGGATTACTGAATGAATACCCAATGGGCCTGCTACCGTGCTAGGCCTATGGTATGACCAAGCAATGCTAGACACAGCTTCTTACTACCTGTGGTCTTTGGCAAGTAGCCCAATTACTCTTAGCCTCGGTACAATGAGGATAATGTTAGCACCTATCTCATAGGGTTGTTATAGGGATTAAATGAGATAATGGTCTTTGGCAAGTAGCCCAATTACCCTTAGCCTCGTTAAAATGAGGATAATGTTAGCCCCTATCTCATAGGGTTGTTATAGGGATTAAATGAGATAATGCATGTAGAGCACTTGACATAGTGCCTTGTATTATTATTATGGTGATTATTATAAGGGAGAGGCCCAAGGGGCTTATTTCCTGGTTATAGAGGTAAGGCAGCCATGTGACATCCTTCAAGCATAATCAAGGCAGAGTATAATCACTAAATTTTTGGTATGATTCTAAGAACCTTGTGAGTGGAAGGGGAAGGGAACTCTTATTGAATACCACAATGTGCTGGACTTTTGCAGGTTGCGGCATTAGTATGTAGCAGGAGGTACATGAACTTTGGAATCAGAAAGATCTGGGTTTCACTCTGACAGAATCATTCATTCATTTTATTCAACAAATCTTCATCAACTGCCTACTATGTGCCAGGCACTGATACATTAGCTCTGGATACAAGGGTAAACAAAATAAAATCCCTGCTCACAGGGAGCTTACATTCTAGTAGGAAGAGGCAGACAGACAAATAGTTAAGTTAAATATATGGCAAGTCAGATAGTGGTAAGTGCTCTGGTGAGAAATAAAGCAGAGAAAAAATACTGGGGTGGAGTGAAGCTAGCAGCAATTTTGCAGAGTGGCCAGGGAAACCCTCATTGATGAGGAGGTATTTGGGCAAAGGTGGAAGGAGGTGAGGGAGGGAGCCATGCACATACATCTTGGGGAGGATTGCTCCAGGCAGAGGGAGCAGTTAAACCCAAAAGCCCTAGTCAGGAGCCTGCTTGGGGCATGTCAGGAACCGCAGGAGGAGGCCAGTGTAGCTGAAGCCCCTGCAGCAGAGGGGAGAATAGCAGATGGTGAGGTTGGAGAGGGCAGACCAGAGCCTTGGTCCCACAGTCAGGAGTGTGGCTTCTCCGTGAGTGAGATGGGAGCCCTTGGAGGGTTTTGCACAGAGGCATGACAAGATCTGACTTAAGTTTTAAAAGGATCAGGCTGAGTGAACCACTAACTGGCTGACCTTGAACAAGCAACTTAATCTCTCTGACTCATTTCTCTACCTCTTAGGGGTTACTTGGATCAAAATAGACAAAAGATATTGGGCAGAGATATCTGGGGACCTGATGGTTCATTCAGAACAGACCAAGTTATGGCGTGCCCTGAGCATTCATATACAAAGTATAGACTGGATATCATAGGCAATCTGATGGATGTTTTAGGAGGACACCTAACGTTACCATGGTAGGTGTTTCTAGCAGAATACAATGGGCTGGGAAACATAAATTATTGTGCATTGCAAGAAGCTAGGTGTGGGAGAAGAGGGTCTGGATCAGGGAGTGATCACAGGAATGGTGATAGAGAGACAGATAGGAAAACCTTCATCTTTTGTTTTGGTTTTCATTCCCTTTGTAGCAACTGCTCCAGGATGGGAATGATCCCGACCCCTATGTCAAGATTTACCTCCTTCCTGACCCTCAGAAAACCACTAAGAAGAAAACCAAAGTGGCCCGGAAAACCTGCAACCCCACCTACAATGAGATGGTATGTGGGGAAGGTGCTGGGTGGGGCTGGGGTTGGCCGACTGTGCCAGTTTGTAAATAAAGTTGTATTGGGACGTGGCCATTACTATTCATTTAAGTCTTGTCTGTGGCTGCTTTCATGTTGTAGCAGCTGGGTTGAGTCATCATGACATAGATCAGAATGTATGGCCTATAAAGCCTAAAATACTTCCTATTTGGCCCTTTATGTAAAAAAGTTTGTTGACAATTAGGGTAGGGATTCCACAGCTGGGGCATGGTCTGTGGGGAGGAAGAGCCTGCTGGTCCTTTGCTGATAATGAGCTGTGGCCCCAATGATAAGCCTTCATTTGCTTGAACTCTAAGAGCAGGGGTCTTTATTTATTTTTATTATTTATTTATTTATTTGGCTGTGCCAGGTCTTAGTTGCAGTTGCAGCATGCATGTGGGATCTAGTTCCCTGACCAGGGGTCGAACCTGGACCCCCTGCATTGGGAGTGTGGAGTCTTATCCACTGTGCCACCACGGAAGTCCCCCCAAGAGCAGGGTTCTCTAAGCTTCCCTCGGGCTCTGTCTGTTGGGGAGGTAAAGTGGTCTCAGCCAGATCACATCACACCACCACAGACTTAAGCATCTCCCCCTTCCATGTTCCCTCTCTCACTACTTCCCTTTCTTCCCAATTTTGCATTTGCAGCTTGTATATGACGGAATCCCCAAGGGAGACCTGCAGCAGCGGGAGCTACAGCTGAGTGTGCTGAGTGAGCAAGGATTCTGGGAGAATGTTCTGCTGGGGGAGGTGCACATCCGCCTACGAGAGCTGGACCTGGCCCAGGAGAAGACCGGCTGGTTCGCACTGGGATCTCGAAGTCATGAGACTTTATGAGCCCAGCGGAGCCGTTGCCCAGGACCCCAGGCTCATGGCAGAGCCGGGGGAGAGGACTCTCCCTGCTTGACTTGTCCCTTCCTTGTGTAGGGGCAGGGCCCTTGGTGGGGCTTCCCTCTGTCCCGGCGGATCGGGCCTCCGTGGTAGGAGGCAAGGAGAGTAAAGATGCTCTCTGCTATCTGCTCCTCTGCAGACTGCATTTGGGTTGGTTGTGATGAGCAGCGCCTTGGAGGCTGTGAGGGTGCAGCAAAGTTTTAAGTTTACCTTGTGTCAAGGGAGCAATGCCTGGTTTGGGGTGTGTGTGTGGGGGGGGGCTGTAGAAGTGGCATCTGGGGGGAGGGTGGGTGGATATCTTTATTTTTATTTTTAAAAAATGAAATAGTAACGTTGTCCTAACTGGACAGGAAGCCTTGTGAGAAGGGACTTACATGTGCCTCAGAAGGCAAAAGAGGAATTGGACTTTTTGTATGATTGAGGTTCTTATTGGACTTTTCCCTAGGATTTTGTTTGTTTGTTGTTTTTGCATTTCTATCTATAGGAATAATTTGGGGAGGGGCCCAGTGGGCCCTCAGTTAGTGCCCTCCGTCTCTGAGGCAGGTCGGGAGGGACAAGGAGGGCTGCGTGTGCTGGACTGAGGCCTGCGCCACTGGGCCTTTCTGATTTTGCCTCCAAAGGAGAGCGATGTGATACCTACGTGTGTAAGGAAGGGCCTTCCACATGGAGGTCGGCAGAGGACCTGTGTTCAGGGACCTGGGCTCTTTTGGGGGGAGTTTTTCCTCTCGTCTTCCCCTATTTTGCTGGGACTTGCCCTGAATACTGTCTTCTACCCCTCCATTCAGCTCTTCTGGGGGTCATCTGGTCCCTGTGAATATGCCTGGGTGCTCCCCCATAGGTCTCTCCCTTCATTTTTCTCTGGTGGGATAAACTGCTGCCTCGGCCCTTAGGTTTGGTTTCACCCCAGGGTGTCTTGGCCCTAGGAATGGGCCTCTAGGCTGCAGATGCCAGCGTGGCTGGCTGTTGGGTGGTTTCTGGGAAGCTTTCCTCGTCATCCACCACTCCTTTTGTTGTGCTGCTTCTCTCCCAAACTCCATTTCTGTCACATTTTTTTAATAAGAATTTCTCTCATTCTATGGGGCCATAAACCTATTTTGTCTGGAGCCAAAGGGATACCCCAGCTGAAGAAAAGGGGTGCGGGTGGGAGATCCCATCAAAACTGTTGTTTTTGCCAGTGATTTTCTTTGGTTGTGAGGAGGCTGGATTGAGCTGAGCTGGAAGGGAGAGACTGGGTCTCTGATCTCTTACTACTCTTCATTCCCTACCAAATGGATTTGAAATTCACTCGTGCGCTTTACTCCGAAAGGTTGTCTTCCTTGAAAAAAGGAGAGACTTTGATATTAACTTTCTAAATTGGCTGGTTGTGCCCGGTGACTGGGGAATGGAGTTAAGTGGGGATACGATGTGGACTGTCCCTCCCCAGCTCCAAGGATCAGGAATTCCCCCTTTCGCTGACTCATTCCATAACTGGAGAAAGAAGCTCCATTCATTGAAGCCACAGAGCAGCAAGGAAGTTTAAACTTTTAAATTAAAAATGTCAAGGATAAAGCTGGCTGCTGTGGGCAGGGGTTAGGGGAGTGAAGAACAGAGGTGGAACTTCTCTAGATGAATGGACCAGAGATGTGTTACTAGCTTTTTGCCTGTAGCTCATTTTACTTTGACCCTCTATGCCCCTGTTAAAGAGAGAGGTCTGTGTACTGTACCCACTTCCCAGACATCCTTTATCTCCTACTTTCTCTGGAATTGTATTTTCTAATAAATGATGTTTAGAAAAACAAAACTATCATTTTCAAGATTTGTTGATGTTTAAATGTTTGGATTAAAACATCTGATGTCCATGATGAAGATAATAATGATAGTAGTGTTTCTACAAATGGTAACTTTTATATGCACTGGTGTGGTGCACCAGGCATTTCACACATGTCAGCTAAATCTGTCCTTAAAACAACTTGACCAGGTGAGTATTATCATCCCCAGTTTACAGATGAAGAAACTGAAGCCCAGAGAGATTAAGTAATTTGCTTAAGGACATAGCCAGTCGGCCTTGGCTCTAGAATTTGAACCCAGGTTTATTTGACTCTTGGGTGTTTTAATATACATGATGTCATTTTTAATTGCAACTACCCTGGAAAGTAGACATGGTTCATTTGTTAATTCTGTCAACAAACACTTACTGTGCTTACCAGTGTTACCAGTGCTACCTGGTGGCGTGCCTCCATTCATAAAGAATACAGACCTTGGAGCTGGGCCCTGGGCCCTGTACCAGGTAACCCGCTGTGGGTTACAAAGATAAATTAAGATAGTTCTCTGCATTTAAGAAGTTTACTGCCCAGTGATATTTAACCAACCCCATTTCATAAGAGAAGAAACAACCCCTGAGATGCCATGCAACGATTACGTTGTTAGAGCAGAGCTGTAGCCCAGAACTGAACCCCAAGTGGAAGCTGGAGGTGACATGACCCTTGTTCAAGCAGTTTACCCAGAAGTTTTCAAAACTCTCCAGTGTGGAGTCATATTTCATGCTGGGAAGTTTTGTGGGGCTTCCAAGGGACTTTTAGTAATAGCAGTAGTAAGTGATAACCTACCTGCTGTGTTTCTAAGTGGTTTTGAGGTGTCACTGCAGTTCTGGGCAAGTCCCAATGGACCTTTTAAAAGTTAGAACTTGAAACCGGCAAGAGTCTTAGTTAAGGAAATTTCTTGGCCAAATGGGGTAGAAATCTGAACCACCCAGAGGGAGTGGGAATGAGAGAGCTGGGGAGTTGGGGGAGAGGGGATGCCCAGGGAGAAGAGAAACAAAAGAAGCCCAGGAGACTGGATTTTCTGCATTCAAACAGGTGGTAAAAATGAAGTAACTGGACTTGTTAGGATTTGGGAGCTAAGGGTTAGACTGGACTTGAAAGGTCAAAAGCGAGGCAACATTTTAAGTTGGGAGGTAATTCTGGTGCCTGGGACTTGTCTGAGGTGTGTGTCCACAACATTAATGGCCTTCTCTGGGTCAAGTGAGTACCAGGCACTGTGCCTACTAAGATGACAAAGGTGTGGATCCCGTCCTCAAGGAACTCAGAGTCCAGCTAGGGGAGCAGACATGGAAACAGATGAGTACAGTGCTGTGTCTCAGGGACAGAGGTGGAAAAGGGGAGGGGTGGGCAGGCAGAATGGGAACTATTTGAACTGAGTTCCATCAGAACTCTGGATTTCATTCTTAGTGTGATGGGGATGCCATTACAAGGTTTTGAGAAAGGGACTGCAGCACTCTAATTTATGTTTTCAAAGATCATTCTGGCTGCTGTTTGAAGCAAGAATGGAAGCAGTAGTCTAGGAGGAGAATGAGAGTAGCATGGGGATAGTGAAAAGTAGTTAGATTCTGGATATATTTTGAAGGTAGAGCTGACAGGATTTGCTGTTGGATTGGATGTGGGGTTGAGGCAAACAGGAATTGAGGATGACTCCTAAGTTTAGGGGCTTGGCAACTGGGTGAAAATGTGGGGGCATTATGGGATGGGGAAGATGGGCTTGGTGGATCACAATTAAGAGTTTTGATCATGGTAAGTTTGAGATGTCTGGACATCCAAGTAGAGAAGTAGGAGGATGGAATCTGAAACCCAATGGAGGGGTCAGTCTGGAGTTTAGAAGTGGAGGTCAGCATTTAGTTGGCATTTAGTGCCGTGGAACTGGATGAGATCACCTAGGTTAGAGAGGCTAAAAAGAAAAAAGGCACAGGTGACTGAGCTCTGATACAGGTCAACATTTAGAGGAAGAGGAGGAGTCACTGAAATTGTAGGGAAGCCAAGGGAATGGTGTCATGGGAGTCTAAAGAAAAGTATTGTCAATATCCTAGGGCTGCTGTAACAAAGGACCACAGACTGGGTGGCTTAAACAACAGTCTCCCAGTTCTGGAGGCCAGAAGTCCAAGATCAAGGTGTCAGCAGGGTTGGTGCCTTCTGAGAGTTGAGAAGGAGAATCTGTTCCATGCCTTCTCCTAGCTTCTGGTGGTTTGCTGGCAATCTTTTGCATTCCTTGGCTTGTAAGTACATCATCCCAGTCTCTGCCTTCATGTTCACACGGAGTTCTCCCTGTGTGCGCGCATGTGTCCAAATATCCCCTTTGTGTTAAGACATAGTCATGCTGGATTAGGGCCCACCGTAATGACCTCATCTTAATTTACAAAGACCGTATTTCTAAATAAGGTCACATTCGTAGGTACTGGGGGATTAAGACTTCAATATCTCTTAGGCGAGTGCACACCAACCCACAAGTCAGAGAACTGGATTTGGCAAAATGTTCTTAGTGATCTTGATAAGAGCTGTTTTAATGAGTGTTGGGGATGAAGGCCACATTGGAGTAGGCTGACGACAGAATAGGTGTGGAAAAAGTGGAGACTGTGAGAATAGACAACTCCTGAGAAATTTTTGCTGTAGTGGTGTAGAAACTCAGAGGTGCAGGAGAGGTTTTCTTTTGTTTTTTGTTTGTTTTAAGATAGGTGATATTAACCCATGTCAAATGTGAGTGTTCCACCAGCTTAATGAATAAACATTGTGAAACAGTCTCAGTGTAGGAGATGCAAAGCTGCTAAGGAACTATCTAGGGGGACTTCCCTGGCGGTCCAGTGGTTAAGATTCCGCGCTTGCACTGCAGGGAGGTGCAGGTTTGGTGCCTGGTCTGGGAACTAAGATCCCACATGCCATGCTGCCAAAAAATAAAAAGGAACT